AAGGGGTTGCAGCAGGTCTCCATGGCTGTGTGTGCCTGTACTCCAGTCATGCTTAGAAGACCATAGAAGTGGTCACAGGAGACCACCCAGATGGTGCCTCTTGCCTTTTGATGTGTCACTGACCTTCTCTGGTTACTTTCAGTCTCTGCATCCATCCTCCTGCCTTAGGCCTGTAGTTGATGGTTCTCCTGAGATGGTCTAAGTGGAAAATGAGCTAGGGTGCCCTGCTTCTTGGCCTGTTAGCTGACAGAGCCAGGAACTACACATGTGGATGCGTGTGGATAGCATGTACACACACTCCAAGAAGCCCCGAGTTTCCACTCATCCTTCGACCCCCCAACGCCCCCCCCCCCCCCCCCCGCCCCACCACCACGGGGAGAAAGTGGTCTCCACTGTCCACAGTATACTTGGGTCTGTGCTAAGTTTATATCATGTTTATCCAGAAGACACAGGGTGCTGTTCTAGAATGGTTTACCATACTCTCTGAAGAAGGAACTTAAGGATGAGGACAGTGTTTCAGGGTGGATAGTGTAATCTTTCTGTGGGTTCAAAGTTAGGTTATACCCCTTTCCTTTGGGGCGATTGTGTGTGATTATGCCTGCTGTGCCTGCAGAGAGCAGGTATTCTCATCCAGAAGTGTAACAGAGCTGAGTTGAGGGATTATGGAACTTTCCAGAAGGAGGGCAGGGCTTGACAGAGTGTGCATAGAGTGTTGAACCATCTCTTGACCTCATAGTTGGAACCCTTGTGGTCTGGAAAGAGGTGAGGGCAGGTCAGTCCAGGGACCATATTTGCAGCCAGCCTGCCTGCTGTCTGGGTGGTGCTGGCAGTTCCCTCCCTTGAGGGTGGTCTTTGTGTTTCACTCATATGTCTATCTCTGTGTTTGACTACTCTGACAACTACATGGTGGTCAAGGGGACAGGGAGGAAAGGCAGACATGCAGTGCCCCCCCCCCACCTCAGCTCCTGGCTATTTAGAGCTTATCCAGTGTCCCATCTATGGCAGCCAGCAACTCAGTGTGGCTAAGTGGCTTTGGGAAGAGGTTTGGGGTACTTCCCCTGTCAAGCTCCTTGGCCCTGCACACCTTTCCTTCCTTCACTGTGAATGTCATATCCTTATTTGGGTGGTCGTAGCTGCTAGATGGCAGAAGATACCTCAGCCTGAACATCACTTTCCCTTTTGAACAGACCCTTGACTGATTGGGAAGAGTCACTTTGGGAGAGGGATATACACTGACTGAAGTATGCCTGTCTCTGAGAATGACATCATGGGAGCTGTGGTCAGAGACCCCATGGCTGGTGCCTTGGCTGGTGTTATGTGCTTCTATGGGGAGGGGGCCCCAGTGGGAACAGAGTGACCTAGGGGGAGTTCCACCATGCCTCCATTGTGCAGCCCTGTGCTGTGGTGCAGAGCAGTCCTGAAGGACACCCAGTGTCTTCCCAGTGTCTCTTGCTACAAATCCAGTATTGTGAACTCCATCCTATGCTTACCATTTCAGTGAGTCCAGTACCTACCTTATATTTCAGTTCCATTCCTAGGGCATATGGCTTGCTCTGTGTCTTCTTTCTGTATGGCAGAAGTGTCTTAGCAGGACACTGTGGGATGGAGTTTTGGGAGTTGTTCTAAAGATTTCAGCTATGTTCTGCTCTCTCCTGGCCAGGGTCTCATGCCTGATGAGTTTCTGCCTTGCCATGATCCACCTCCCCTGTGTCCTTCGGTGCCCCTTCATCTGTCCTTTTGACTGTCTTGTATCTGCTGCATGTAAGATTTGAAGCTGGAGGAGACCCCACACTGGGGATAGCTGAGAGTGCAGGCTCTTGCCTCCAGATGGAAGGGGGCTGATTTGCATGATGCTGGCCTGGTCTCTCTGTGTGGTATCAGGGATGGGTTTGATGGGTACCCAGGGAGGTTGCACCTTGGCTTATAAGCTCTTACTTGTGTGAAAGGCTCTGCATGGTTATGCAAGGGTGAGCATGTATGCATAGGTGGGTCTGCAGACCTCACTCTGTCCCCAGCTTCCTAGTCATCCAGTGAAGGACCAGCCAGCCATGCTTTCAGTTTCAGTCCATGGTGTGGCATACAAATCCTGTCTCCTCCTACTTGCTCTAAGGTCCTGATGTGAGTGGAACTTGAAGGGTGTGAGGTCCCCACTAGGGAGAATAGTGTATACAGAAGGCACAAGGTTTGCAGGGCTGGTCTCTGGGTGGGGCTGTGCCTTGCTATTTATATCCCTCTGTGTCCCCAGAGCTCCTGTCCTATTAGACACTGCCGACAGGCACAGTGTGCCTGGTGTTCTCAGCTGTCTATGCTGCCCCATGAGTTTTCAGCAGATGACTATCATCCAGTTATGTTCCTACCTTACTGCAGTTCCTTGGTGATCTCTGGGGGAGGCTAAGGGCTGTGAATTAGGAAAAAGAGGGACACCAGGGGAGCTTGTAGTATCTGTGTGAGTACTGGCAAGGGGAATCTCTGATTAGAACAAAGCCACTTCTGGGCTGTGGGCCCTAACAAAGGTTTCTCCCCGTGCTTTGGTTTTGCATATGTATTAGATGCTACACTTTTGGGGTCCTAGTTAAATTCAGGGCAGAACACTTTGCATTCCTTTGTTCCCTGGTCCCTGATGACCTTGATTATTGGAGTTTGTGACTAGAACCTGGGTCAGGTGTATCCTGAGACAGAAAGGGCCCAGTGAGCTTCAGGGAACTGCGTCAGTCTCTTCTGTTCAGGTGTTACCCAGATTGGTGGTGGTAACCCATGGTCTGAACTAGATAATAGGGTAGGAGGTGTGTGTGTGTGTGTGTGTGTGTCCGGAAGGCCAGCATAATCCTTTGGGATTTGAGGAATTTGAAATTCAAAGCTCCTGTCAAAACAAAACAAAACAAACCTTGGTGTATGTGTGTGTCCTCTCTCAAAGAGGGCTTTAGTCTTTAATGGGGCCAATCTGTTCATGAAGTTCTTAGCTTTTAAGATCGTTGTCCCCAGAAGTATCACATACATAGTTTGTGGAACCCAAAAGGGGATCATAATGTAACTTTCTGTTCCTCAACTGGAGGTGGGTCAGAGTTCGTTTACCTGGTTCCTCCTTCCAAGTAGCTTGCTTGGAAAAGTACAAATAAAAAAATCATTGCCCTGCTCCCAGTCATCTCTACACTATGCTGCTAGCCCATGATATGCTCAGGGATCAGACGATGGTTCCAGACACCAGTGCAGGGGACTCAAACCCATAACATCAGGACTCCATTCTTGGTTCCCATGAAGTTCTTTGTTTCTGTCATCTGAGGTTCTGAGCCTTACTGCCAAGAGATGACCTGGGCTCCAAGAGGAGAGGTCACCCACCAACAGTTGCCTTCGGCTTCCTTCAAGGATGCTCCCTTTCTGAAGACTTCTGGCTTCAATGCCTTGGGGTCCCTGCTTATCCCTCAGTGGATGTCCACCTATAGTTCCATGTCCTCTGTGGCTGAGCAAATGTCTACATCCTTGTGCATCTGGAACATAAGATATCCAGGCCGTGTGCCCAAGACCTTGGAACTCTGTTCAGGAAGCAAAGCCCCTGAGATGTGCTCTTCTCATCCTAGAGGCCGTAAGATTAAACTGGTTACTGGTCCTCCCTGTCAAGGGCTTTGAATTGACTCTGGATGTGTAGAAGAAGCAGAACTTGAGAATCCTGCCTGATGAGGATAGTTGTAGAAGGGCCTTCAAGGGCTAGCTACCAAGCTGCAAACTCCCTTGTAGGATGCTAGTGTAGGCCTCACTGGGGCCTAACCTGTTGACATCACACTGCCCCCCCCCCCGTTTGCTGAGCTTGTTGTTGATTTTTTTTTTTTCTGTCCCCATATTACACCCTACTTGTTCTTACTCCGCTAGACCCCTGAGGCTACTTGTGGCAGCTCTCTGACTTCCCTATATCATTCGCATAAGATGTTTCAAGCCAGAGTTGAGTCATGGCCCCCTAGACCATGATAAGGTACAGGGGCGCCAGAGAAGTGCTGCCCATCTTTTCCCACGAAGCCCTCCTCTGTGGGGCCCTCCTCCCATGAGGAGGATCCACTTTGTGTGCCACCCACTTCTGCGGTAACCTCCCTGTGTGGTCCAGCTTGGCCTAAGTTTGTAAGTGACTACATAGTGTGTTCCTGGGCTGACCAGCTTTGTTCTGAGCCCCTGGAGTCATCAGCAAGGCCATAACCCAGTACATACCTCAGTCCCATGTCATGTAGAAACTGAGACAGAAAGGACTTGTCTAGGAACCTGGCAGCATGAGGCATGCCCTGTGTGCCAGGACCTGACAGGGAAGAAATCAGAAAACAGAGCCCTATACTTACTGTTCTGACCACTCCCTGACTCAGGGTCTGCACATTGGAGACGGGCTGTGCTGAAGTATTGGGACTGGGGAGCTGTGATTCAGGACAGGTGTCCTTCCCGGAATCATATTGCGCTATGAAGGTGGCCCTGGGAGTGGATGGGGTAGGCACCTTTAGGGTCAGAGGCCAGAAGCAAGGGAAGATGCGCCCAGGTGTTGGCATCCTGTCACCTGTGAGGACACAGGAAGGCTCATTTGTGGGTGGTCTGAGAATGCTGACTGTGTGGCCATGCCTGCCTCTCGGCTGAGAATCCCAGCTGTCTTGTGGCCAGGGATCCTGAACAACCAGTGTTCTCTGCAGTTTGGGTGATACCTCTCTATTTCCCACATAGAGATACATAGGGTACCACTCAACCTGGATGCCAGTGTTCAGCCCTGGCCTTTCAGGTCCCACAGCAGAAAGTCCTTCTGAAATGGTGGTGTGCACAGGGAGGGCCAGCAGGTTCTCCTACTAATGGGGGTAGACTTTGAGCCCTCAGTAGGCAGTGTGGACAAATGGGCTGACGCTTGATTTTACACTAAATTACAGGTTGGGGGCACACAGACACTTGGGGGCCATGGGCATGTGGGCAGAGAGGAAGCTTAGATAAACGGTATCTTTAGCCAGGGCTACAGCTGGGGACTGATGACTGTGGGACACAGTGCCTGATGCCTGCCTCCCAGAGCTGCATGCTCGCCTTCTGCCACTTCTTTCTGAGACTGACCTGTTTGTCTTCCACAGGAGATGGAAACCCCAGGGAGAACAGCCCATTCATCAATAATGTGGAGGTGGAAAGAGAGAGCTACTTCGAGGGGAAGAACATGGCACTTTTTGAGGTAATTTTATTTTACTTTCCATGTGAAAAAGTAAAGGAGTAGTCATCTCCTGAATCCTGGGCAGGTAGCCTGGGCCCTGACGAAGGAGCAGGATGCATCTGCCTGGGATCCACTTGGCCAGGTGCATTTCTTATAGTTTCTGAAGCCTTGGGGAGCCTCTCAGAACCCCTGATTTCTGATACCAGACTTGCTGGGCAGGTGTCTTGGGGCACACAGATCTGGGGGCTTCCATGCACCTTGACTGTGGCTCTTAGATTCCACACAACGCTGGAACAGAGGTACCTGCTAGACTGTTAACCTGTTGCCCTGGGATATTGATGAGGCTGGTTCCTACCTATCTGATGCCTTGTACTCATTAGGAAGAGATGGACAGCAATCCCATGGTGTCATCACTGCTGAACAAGCTGGCCAACTATACCAACCTCAGCCAGGGTGTGGTGGAGCATGAGGAAGATGAGGACAGCCGGAGGCGGGAGATCAAGGTACCCATGCTGCCCTCTGTGTGGATAGCAGTCTTGGAATTTTCTAGTTGGAGAACAAGACTCTTGCCAGACTTTCATATCAAACCTACCCTTTTTCTTCATGAGGCTTGGCCAGTCTTCATTTTTCTGGTACTGTGTCTCAATGGACCCCTCCAGAGTCCTGTGCTTTTGGGTGACCCTCAAACTTGGGTGAGGAAGAAACAAGGTCCTAGAGGTCCAATGCTGGCTGCCCTGCCCACTCTGAGGAGGTGTCTGTGGGGCCACACAGCTCCAGAGAGTAGAGGAGGCACTAAGCCCTGCCTGAGGTCTGTCAGAGAACTGACTTTTTGTGTCATTTTATTTGTTATTTGGTTGTGGCATGTGTGTTTTTTGGGGACAGTCTTACTCTGGAACCCAGGCTGACCTGGAACTCAATATGTTGCCCAAAGTTGGCTTAGAACTCACAGCAGTTCTGCCTCAGCTTCCAGGTATCGGGATTACAGGTGCCACTGTGTCTGGTTTAAAACCTTCTCTAAAGACTTTGATTTTTATTCCCCCTTTGTTCTACCTCCCAAAGGCCCCAGCTTTCTCTGGAGGAAGGAGTCCAATGCTGGTGAACACAAGTGAAGGTGTTCATTCCTGTGACACCTGTCAAGTTGGGTGACAGCTAGCTCATCTGCCCTCCACCTCTTCCTTTGTGTCTACCCTGTTTGTCACATGCAGCTGCTTCCTAGGTGCTTCCCATGGGCAGAGCCCAGCATGACTATGGCTCTGGGGAGGTCAGGCCACAGAGTGGCATTGGCTGCTGCCTTTCCCTCCTGGTGTGAGCACAGTGGAGTCAGTACTGTGTTGTAGGTTTTCATGACGTTCATTGCTTATCAGATCTGGGGCCTGTAGTCTTTGGGGACAGGGCTAAGGTTAACTGGGTGTTTTACTGGCAATGGGGCAGTGGCTTCCTCAGAAGTGTTCTCTGGCCCATGCCTTTCCCTTTCCCTTCCCAGATCCTCTGGGCCTGCTGACCCTGCTGAAGTGGCAAAGTCACAGCTGCCCAAATGTGCTGAATGAGGGTCTACACAGGAGAATTTAGTGGCTGCAGTGGTAGGCTTGTGACTCATGCATTTTGGGGGTTTACTTATGTTCCCGTCACTGCCTCATGGCACAAAAGGCTCTTGGGCCTCAGAAACCTCAGGCCTTCCTTGTCCATTTGTCCATCTCCTTTGTCCACTGGGATTTGTGTCCAAGGAGAACTTGGCCTGTGCCAGGGAATAGACTCTACTCTGACTGCATCTTAGAATTGACCCACAGCCTCAACTCTACTCAACCAAGGCACTGCTCAAGTTGATCCCACAGTTTAGTTCTTATTACCCAAGAGTAGAGCCCAGCAGGTTTGGCATTCCCCCTCCCCCAGGGCACTGTGGAAAGAGCCTGTCCTTGCAAGCAGAGCATCCAGGTTGGGGAGTTTGTGCTTAGTATGCCTTAGTATATTTCACCCCAACCCAACATAAGATAATTCTCGGGTCAGTGTTCCCCTTGGGGACATGGCTCCTGGACTGGATTTCAGTTGAAGTATTACGCCCACAGTGGAGGTGCTTATCTTGGTTGGAAGTGAACAGCTGCCCTACTTAGAGATCTATTGGGTTGACAGGACAGGATGAGTAGAGCCTGACCCTGGTGTCCCCTTTGATGTCACAGAAGCTTGTCCCCAGAGACAGGCATCACTTTCCTTTGAGCTGTCTTCTGGGCTACAAACAGGTTCTGAACAAAGCTCAGAATTCAGGGTTGGCCATCCCCTTTAGAAGGATCTGGGACCCTCCAGGCACTAGGGTACTGGGGAAACAACTAGTACCTGAGCCTGTGTCTCAGTGGGATCTGAAGCTAAGCCATGTGATCTGGCCCAGCAATGACCTGCCTAGACAGGTTGTTTTCTGCCATTCTTCTATGGGCTGTCTCTGATGTCCACCTCACGCTGTGGTCTTTAATTCTTTAATTTAATTAATTTTTTATTTAACTGAAAAATCTAAAAGATGGTTTGGAGAGGGGGCTCAGCAGGTAAGGGTGATTGCTACTCTTTCAGAAGACCTGTGTTGGGCAACTCACCACCATCTATAACTCCATTTCCAAGGAATCCAATGCCCTCTTCTGTCCTCTCTGGGTACTTGCACTCAGGTGCATATACCAACACATATATACATGCACATACATAATTAAAGATAAAACACTTCTTAAAATAAACAGTTCCAAAGGCATTTATCCATCTGCCAGCTTGCAGAATTCAAACCCACAAGACTTCTGCCCCCAGAATGCATAGTCCAGACCTCAAAGACAAGGGAGGGCATGAGGTCAAGGCCTAGTCTCTTTCTTGCTATATCCCTCCCTTCAGTGTGATGAGGCTTCCAGCTTTCAAACCCAGAGCTTTCCACACATTCTATCTCCCTGTGAGACCTCTGGCCTCCAATTGGTAGAATTCAGGCTGCCCTGCCCTGGGTGGCTCTCTGTGGGAGGGCCATCTGCATGCCTGAGCTGCCACTCTGTCTTTTCAGGTTGTTTCGGTGGTCAGTTTGTTCTTGGAGTCTACTCTCTGGCTAAGCACAGCCATTCAGTACCACTCTTCATTCAGCTGCTGGGCTCTCCCTGTCTGGTCTCTATCAGGCTTCTGTGTGAGCACGCTCTGTAACATCCTTGTGGTCATTGTCCATAGGGAATGTGCTCAAGCCAATCCTCCATGCTCATTCTGTGTTCGCCTAAACTGAGATGACCCTCCTTTGTGTTGGGGTCTGGCTTCTTAGCTGTTATGTCTCCAAATCTCTAGTCTGTTCCCTATCGTATTACAATGAGACTCTTGAACTTATAGGCAGCCTCACCTGCATCTAGCGCCTCTCTGGCCGCCTCTCTTTCATTTCTCAAGCTTCCTGGCACCAAGACTCAGGCCCCTAGCTTGCCTCACAGATACAGCAGGGATTCTATCTCACTCTTCCAAACTTTCCACTCTGATTCTTCTTCCCAGTAGGAAAGCAGAGCCAGGAGATTTAGTTGGGTTCTTATTGTTGTTGTTTTTCCCTTACTCTTTACTTTTTTGGCTCTTCAAGGGGCCTGCCACCCAGCTGCCAAATAAATTACACACAGAGTCTTATTATTTTTTATGAATGCCTGGCCTTAGCTTAGCTTGGCTTGTTTTTAGCCAGCTTTTTTTTTTTTTTTAAACTTAAATTATCCTGCCTACCATTTGCCTCTGAGCTTTTTCCTTTTCTTACTTCTGTGTATCTGACTTTCACTTTTACTCTGGTGTCTGGCTGGTCTCTAGCATCCTCCTCTCCTTGTTCTCTTGCTCCTTCCTCCTCTCAGTTTCTCCTCCCATTTATTTTCTCCATCTGTCTGCCTTTTCTTCCTCCTGCCTTGCTATCAGCCATTCAGGTCTTTATTAGACCAATTAGGTGTTTCAAACAGGCAAAGTAGCACAGCTTCACAGAGTCAAACAAATGCAACATAAAAGAATGCAAAACATCTTCACATTATAAACAAATATTCCACAGCATAAACACATGCAACACACTTTAAAATACTTTCTACAAATAGGAGGCTTTTTCCTGTGCCCTGCCTAGTATGATTTTACTTCCTTCCAGCTCAATGCCCTAGATGACTGGGGTCCACTCTAGAACTAGGGAACCTCATCTTATCTGGGACATGGGTTTTTGTCAGGCATCTTTGCTATCCTTGTAGCTTCACTGTATGGCCACTGTGTTCCTCCCTGATTCCTCTGTTCCTGTGACCTCCAAATGGAAGCATGGGTAGGGTTCCAGGCTGGGTTACTGGATATAGACTGTGAGCCTCCTCGGACATATCTTTCTGTGTTCCAGGCCCCACGCATGGGCACCTTCATTGGAGTCTACCTGCCCTGCCTGCAGAACATCTTGGGTGTCATTCTTTTCCTGCGCCTGACCTGGATTGTGGGGGCAGCTGGTGTTCTGGAGTCCTTCCTCATCGTGTCCATGTGCTGTACCTGTGTGAGTGTTCTCAGCTAGTCCTGGCACAGTTTCTGAGGAGCTGGTACTGGGGGCCCTGAGAGACTACTTTTGGGGAATCCAGGCCTGTCCTGTAGGTCCCCCTCTAGAAACAACCTGCTGCAGAGGTCTTGGGAAAGTTGGGCTGGCAAAGGCTGGGTTTCCCACTAGTCTGAGGACTTTATTTAGCTGTATCTATAGGGGTGGCATTTGTACTTCTGGGGACACCAAGGGCTGAAGTCTGGGGCAGGGGCCTCTCACTGGGTTGTGATAAGACTACCCTGAAAGGATTGTGGGCATTTTCAGGGACACAGGTCTGTAACTTGTTCAAGTCCAAGCTTGAGGGAAAGAATAAACTCAGAACCAACTCATCCCTGCCTTCAGCATGTCTCCTTATTTATAATGACATTTTTTATCATGCACGCCTGGTTTACCTTTGATTATTGCTCACAGTCTGTCTACCAGCCCTACTTTCTCTCCGTCACCTTTCTCTGATGAGAAGTATAATTTTGTTTTAGTTAACCCAAGTGTCACCTGAAAGGACAAGGGTCCTTTTTAGAAGGAATTCAAATAATATGATTGAATGGGAGTCCCTTTAACTCCTGCCCCAGGTCACATGACCACTTGTTCCCTGATAGCGCATACCTAAGTGTCTATCCTAGGGTACCCACTGTCCTTTGACTGGTCATTCCTTGTGGCTGCCTGTTCACCTGTCCCCTGACTGGTCAGTCTGTCTTGCTACTCAAGGCCACCAGTCCATGCTTCCCAACTGGTCACTTCATGTGTCTTTCCTGCCATAGCCACCCTAGGGCACTTGCCTGTATTTCCTCATTCCATGTGGCCACTCCAGGACTGTCCTCTCGTTACTCTGTGTGGGCACTTCAGGTCTGGCCACCCACTTCATTGTGGCTATTTGCACTGCTGATACCCACAAATAAACTTAGTTGAGCCAGAGGGTAGATACAAGGTGAGGTTCCTTGTGCCATGGTGAATGTACATCTAAAGTGTCCCCCTGGTGCCTCATGGGTTATTAGAGACATAATTGGGACTCCTTAGGGGCCAGGCACCTAGAATGAGATTCAGCTTTCAGGGCTGTGCTGTGCTGGGTCTGAAGCCTGTTTTCTGTGACTTTTGGGAATGGATTTGTGGGTTGAGTAGGAAAGGACTGACAGCCAGTCATTTCATGCCTCCTTTGAGGTCAGAAGCCTGCAGCCTAGGCTCAGCATGTTGGAGAATCTTGGGGCACACACTTCCTGAAAGAGCTGTTTTTCTTTGCAGACAATGCTGACTGCCATCTCTATGAGTGCCATCGCTACCAACGGTGTGGTCCCAGGTGAGGGTGCCAGCGCCTGTGGCTCTTCACCATACAGAACAAGAACTACTTGTGTGTGGTTGCCATTTACTGCCCCAGGCTCATGTGACAGTGACATTAACTGTTTGCATCAGGATGGCACTAGGTATTGTGCTGCCCATGGAGAGAAGAGAGTGGCCCTCTCCCCAGAGGCTGTGGTGTAGACGCACCCTCACTGCCTGCCTGCTCTCTGTTATGAGGACAGAAACCACACCCTAGAGATGGGCACAAACATCAGTGGAGGGCAGGTCCTTCTGAAGTTATATACTTTTATAGCTTGTGGTGACACTCCACCAAGCACTACTGCTTTGTCCTCTGCATAAAAGAGTTGGCAGGCCTGTGTCAGTGTCCTTCCTGTAACCAACTGAAGTCACAGGAGGTTTTTCTGAAGACGGGTGAGGTACTGTACCTGCCTGTTAATCAGGTAGTTCCATCACACCTTAGCTACCCTGTCCCCCTGGGCAGGGTAGACATCATAGCCCAAGGCTTCCTAGTGACTCTGTTTTGAGGGAAGACTAAAGTGTTTGTCTGTCCCCTCATGGGGACACATCTTTTTGCATGAATGCTCAGTGAACAGCACTTCCTGACCCATGTTTTCCTTGGGCTATCTTTACAGCGGGAGGCTCATACTACATGATCTCCCGTTCGCTGGGGCCTGAGTTTGGAGGGGCTGTTGGCCTTTGCTTCTACCTGGGCACAACGTTTGCAGGTGCCATGTACATCCTAGGTACCATCGAGATCTTCCTGGTGAGTTCATCTATGGAAGTCTTGCTTTTCCCAGGCACTTTGCCTGTGACCCTATTTGTACTTCCCCTGATGGTCCTCTGCCCTGCTGCTCTGCATATCTGTACTCTCAAACTGCTATCTGGGCTGGGGGTCTGGGTCCCTCGTGGGTGACACCTCATAGTCTGTGTTGTCTTAGGAGGCATGGGCTTATATAACTCCTTGATCAAGTCTCTAGCTCTTGAAGGCAAAGCAGGCTTGCTCAGCACTGGTCTGTATAGTCTGGCAGTTTGCAGAAGGACTTCCCTGCATTGAAGTCGGGCTTGTGTGCTCAGTGTCAATGGGCTTTGTAGCATGAGTGTCTGTAGCCTCCCCAACCCCACCCCCACCCCCATACAGTATGGTCAGCCCCAGAGACTGTATGTCTTCTGTGAACCTAGAAGATGAAGGTTCTAGGTTGGAACAAGGCAATGGCTGAGCCTTGACCTATCTCACAGAAGCCTGAGGAATTTATTCTCTGTACTAGTTCTTTTCCAGTTGCTATGATGAAATACTATTACACAAGCAACTTAAGGAAAGGCTTATCATGACCAGGAAATGACCAGAGGCAGGGCTCAAAGCAGCTGACCACATTGTTTCAGTAGTCAGGGAGAAGACAGAGATGAATCCTGGTGTACACAAAGCCTTTTCCTTTTTATACTGTTCAAAACCCCAACCCAGAGAAGGGTGCTTTTAGGATGGGTCTGTTCATCGTTAACTGATTTAAGATAATATCTCACTGGTATGGACAGAAGCTAATTTAATATGGGTCACAGGTGTCCCCAGAGGCTTTTCTCCTAGGTGATCCTACCTGTCAGTTGACAATAAATATTAACCATTACTACAATCATCTCCATGGAGTTGACTCTTTTTTTCTTTGGTACCCAGGTATCTCAGAGCCTGCAGGGAAGACTTCCCATGCCAAGAAAGGCTTCCTGGGGGCAAATGTATATTCTAGTTTGGGACCTAGGAGTCCGTGTTCCCCTATGGGTTCTGGGCTGCAAACTAAGTTGGGGGGTGGGGTGGGGTTCTGGATTGTCATGCCCATTCCTAGGGTCTGGTTGGTTTCTAAGGTAGAGCGGCTTGAAGGACACACTAGCTACTTGGTGGCTCTCTGGAGAGTGTGCTCAGCAGTCAGCTGGTGTTAGTGAAGACAGAGGAGATAGATGGCCTGCGTTCTGCTGAGGCTGTTGGCACTAGGCCCTGGCCCCTCACCACAAGTGTTCTCCCCTGCCTGTGAGTAACCTGACCAAGGCAGGTTGGCCACTAAGATCGCACACAAGTTAGCTGCCAGCTCTCCTTCCTTAAGGTGCCTGATCTCCTGTACTGCTCTTTACAACCTGGCTCTGGCAGTCTGTGGGAATTGGACAGGGAATGACTGTGGGCCTGGAACCCTGGGTCCATCTTGGGTGGAACACAAGAGTCTGTCTCAGTACTCCTAATGGCCTCAGTCCTGACAGGCTTTCTTTGCCTGAGATCATCAGAGCTAGGCGAGTTCCCGGGGAAGGACCTTCGTCTTTGCTGACCTGCCTCATTCCCACAGACCTACATCTCTCCAAGTGCAGCCATCTTCCAGGCAGAGACAGCGGACGGCGAGGCAGCAGCACTGCTGAACAACATGCGTGTGTACGGCAGCTGCGCACTGGCCCTCATGGCAGTTGTAGTCTTTGTTGGTGTCAAATATGTCAACAAGCTGGCATTGGTCTTCTTAGCCTGTGTTGTGCTTTCCATCCTGGCCATCTATGCTGGTGTCATCAAGACAGCCTTCGCCCCACCTGACATCCCGTGAGTGCCAGGCCATTGGGTGTGGGGGGGGGGCGGCGAGGGGGTTTATCTAATGCTGGGTTCATCTTGCAGTGTTCTTCCAGGGGCTGGGCCTGGGCTTCCTGGTTCTCTCTCTTCTCAGATCCTCAGTTTTATTCTAAGGAGGAATATGGAGTTGTCCTTCACAGTCACACATTCCTGGGCTTCAATGTGGTTTTGAGGAACTTTGGAGTATGGGATGTCACAGTGCCCGTGCAGTAGGTTCTGTGTTTATCTATGGAACAGGAGGCTGGTGAGGGTTGTCCATACTTCAGGTGGCCAGTGGCCCTATGGACAGTGTATTAGTTACTTTTCAGTTGCTGTGATAAAGCACCGTGATTAGGAACAAACTATGGAGGGAAGAAAGAGTTGTTTTGGCTTGCGGCTCTAGAGGGATAAGAGTCCATCATGGCAGCAAGAGAAGGAAGCTGAGAGATCATGTCTTCAACCTCAGTCGTGAAGCAGAGAGAGCAAACTGAAAGCGGGGCAAGACTGTGAACTCTCAAAGTCTGCCCCCAATAACATAGCTTCCTGCAGCAAGGCCGTATATCCCAAACCTCCCCAATCGGCACCACCAACTGGGGACCAAGTTGGGAGGTACTCTCATTCAAACCACCAGTCAGATGGCCTAGCTTTTCCAGTGTGGCCCATTCTTACTCCATGAGACCTTTGGCTTCCTTGAAACCCCTCAAATGGGCTGGCTCTTGCCCACTTGTGGGATTGAGGAGGTTAACCAAGGTGGCCAGGGATAGTGAGCTAGTAAATGAGCACGGACCCAAGGTGTGTGTGTCGGTGGGGGGAGGGGAGGGGGGGCGGTCTGGTCATGTTGAGACTGACCAAAGCCATGGTTCTTGGTAGGGAATTTAGGAGCCAGGATGGGTTGAAACCCCCAGAGCTGTGGTTTTGCCATCTTTGTGGAGGATGAGTTGTCCCAGGCAGGAGGAAGACAGCCCTGACCAGTTGAGGGCTTGTATGGGAGATCAGTCACCAAGCTGTTGAAATCTGGCTTGATGACATGTGGCTCCTGACATGTGACCCCTCGAGTAACATGGATCTGGGACACTGGAGTTACTTGGGAGGCGTTGCGCCTCACTCTGAGTCGACTGAGAAGCGTGGTGAAAACAAACTGTCCTCTCGCTGCTCCAGGGTCTGTCTGCTTGGGAACCGCACGCTGGCAAAGCGCAGCTTTGAGACCTGTGCCAAAATGCAGGTTGTCAGCAATGGGACAGTGACCACTGCACTCTGGCGCCTCTTCTGCAATGGCTCCAGCTTGAGTGCCTCCTGTGATGAGTACTTTATACAGAACAATGTCACTGAGATCCAGGGCATCCCTGGTGTGGCCAGTGGTGTCTTCCTGGGTAAGTGCCAGTGGGCTCTTTGAGGCTACTCTTTGGGCCTTGGTTCCTCTTGCTTAGCCAAGTCCTAGGGGGGGTCCTGTCCAGCTAAACTCTAGACTGGAATAGCTTCCTTCAGCTGCTACAAATCAGCTGGGTGAAGCCAGGCATTCAATCTTTGTTTGAGACACTCACTTTACAGCCCAGCATGGCCTGGAGATTGCTATGTAGCCCTGATTGGCCTAGAACCCTGACGACAGGATGGCCTGGTACTATCCCTGTCATCACTTTCCACATACTAGGATAACAAATAGGGGGCAACTTCATCTTAGTGAGAAGGAACTGTTCCTGGAGAACCTGAACATTTGGTCCTAGTAGTCTACCCTCTGTGAGTTGGGGTTCTGTACGCTCTGCAATGGTGTGGTGTGATGTCAGTAGACAGCTGAGGGCTGTGTCTGGGTGACACAGAGAGGAGCACATGGGTCCCTCACTCACAGGTCCTGCTGGAGTCTCTGAGGTAAGCTCTCTGGAGGAAGCAACTCCCAAGAGATATCAAGGGAAGCAGCAAGTGCATGTGGACAGAAGAGCCACAGTTGCTGACTGGAGGCCACTTATGGAGAGGTCCCCATGTGGGTATTCAGTCAGGGCAAGACTGTACTGGGTCAGGCTGGAATGGAGTGGAGAGTGAAGGTGGCTACACTGCCTGGATTATTGGAGGAACTAATACGATCACAGTTTTGTGTTCCTGCCTCATCGGTGGATGCCCAGCAGGGAGGGCACTGAAACTGTGGGCAGCTAGCTGTTTGGGAACATGTAGGTACCATGCACAAGGATCCCCTAGTTATGTTGAGGTTTTAGGGAGAGTAGCTTCTTGCACTTGAGTGTCCTTGACTGAAATCAGAGCCATGGAAGGAGAACCCCCTGTGGTTGTGAGTGGTGATGCTGGGCATAGACAGTCCAGTGGGCAGTCCCAGCAGAAGGTGGAAGAATACTATTAGGAGGTGTATTAGTCCAGCCTGTTCTTATTACAGATAACCTGTGGAGCACATATTCTGACAAGGGGGCATTTGTGGAAAAGAAGGGAGTGTCCTCAGTGCCTGTGTCGGAGGAGAGCCGGCCTAGCGGGTTGCCATACGTCCTTACAGACATCATGACCTACTTCACCATGCTGGTTGGCATCTACTTCCCCTCCGTAACAGGTGAAGCTGCCCGCCTCCCCAGCCTCCCCTCCCTCTCTGCCTCTGTCTCTGTCTCTCTGTGTCGTTATGTCTTTGTTACTTTCTCTGTCTCGGTGAGTGTCTATCTCTCTCTCTCTCTCTCTCTGTGTGTGTGTGTGTGTGTGTGTGTGTGTGTGTGTGTGTTTCAGTCCTCAGAGACCATCTTCCCAGCAAGCAGTATTGGCCTGTCTTCTCTGACCTACAGATGAATCTTTCTGTGGGCAACGTCCTCTAGCCCTTCTGTCACTGTCACTCCTATCTATTTTGCAGGGATCATGGCAGGATCCAACCGCTCTGGGGACCTCAAAGACGCCCAAAAGTCCATCCCAACAGGGACCATTCTGGCCATTGTGACCACGTCTTTCATTTGTATCCTTAAAGGGGCCCTGGACAGAAGTATTGAACTCCAGCCTGGCTGCCCTCATTCAGGTCCATTCACTCACATTGCCATTGTACCCATCTGTGGTGCACTTACCACATTTAGGTCCTGACCACAGCCTGCCCTACGTGTAGCTGTGGCAACCCTGTGTGATGCGCCATATTAAAACATGGCGCCTGGATTCCTGTTCTCTTGTGATTATATTTGACACGCGTGCCTTTAAAAAACCAAGTGAGGACTAATGGTTATAGTTCGTTCAGTGGTAGAGTGTTTGTCTAGCACAGGGCTCTGGCTTCAAATCTGCAGTAATACCAAAGGTAAAAAAGAAATACAATACGCCATTGGATTGGCCTATGTCACTAGCGGTATACAGACTTGGTTGGGTGTAGCGTGGTATGTGGCATAAACACTGACCACAGTTGGTTTTGTGAAACTGACATTCCAGGAGCCCTGTGTCCTCCCAGCAGGGTGATTGGGCCACCAACCAGGCACTTTTGAGTACCCTGTGACTGCATTCTCTTTAGGTAGACATATGTGAGGAGAGGTCCCAGAGGGCTGTGGAGGTGTGGACCCACAATTGTGACTACAATTGTGAGTACAATTGTGAGGACAGGGTATGGGGATAGTTTACCACCAGGTGATCCTGGGTGCGGGGTTGGTTCAGGCGCATGGGATAGGACCCACTGGCCAGCATGCATCCTCCTGGAGCTTGTCTTAGGACTGTCCACTCCTTGACTTCGTCTCAGATCTTTCCTGCATAGTGCTATTTGGGGCCTGCATCGAAGGTGTGGTCTTGCGAGATAAGTATGTTGGTTTTTGTTTTTTAACTACATGAATTGGCTGTAATTGGTATTGTCTTTCCTGAGTGAGACTTTAGCTTTGAAATTCAGTTACCCCTGGGCCTCACAGTTGTATATGAGCTAAAAGCTCTTATCCAGCCATACTGCCTTTTGCCTGACTAAAGCATTGATACGTCACTCCTTGAGCCTGGAGCCTAAAGACTGCTTGGAGAAAAGATGAGGCCTGATGAAACTGGAGATGGGGAGTAGACACAGGTGTGAGAATGGGAGAGATGGGACCTAGACACCCTAGCCCTGCTGCTGAATCAGTGGGACTTTAGTGTAGACTACTGTGGGCCCTCCCTTCTTAGGGTACAAGTCTGTCAGAATCTCAGGGCTTCAGGGGGTCTTGTAAACTGTATGGTGAAGGAATATAGTTACCACCAGACCTAGATATGACCTCTGCAGAAATGACAATGGCCAGCACCACCTTGGTATAAGCCAGGATTTAGTGTTCCTGATAGGATTCCAGAACAGTTTCATTAACACCAAAGCCCCTTCCAAGGGAAGCTGCAAGGCTGGTTGGGTCCTGGTTGAGTGGGGCCTCTGTTATGGGTTCTTTACCTTCCCTCTCCCTGAGCCCAGAGGTTCACACTCAAATAGAGGACAGACGTTTTTTTTTTTTTTTTTTTTTTTTTTTCCCTCTCCCTGAGCCCAGAGGTTCACACTCAAATAGAGGACAGACGTTTGTTTTTTGTTTGTTTGTTTGTTTTGTTTTTTTTTTAAATCTTCTTTCTTCAGATCACTTTTTGGACGCTCTACTGACCATCTTCCCTGCTCACCTATAGGTTTGGGGAGGCCCTGCAAGGGAACCTGGTCATTGGCATGCTGGCCTGGCCATCCCCCTGGGTCATCGTCATTGGCTCCTTCTTCTCCACCTGTGGTGCTGGCCTGCAGAGCCTGACTGGGGCACCCCGCCTGCTGCAGGCCATCGCCCGTGATGGCATCATCCCCTTCCTACAGGTGAGCCCTTCAATCAAACTGCAGCAGATGATGCTGGCTGCCCTGAGAAGAGAGACCTTGGAAGGTCAAGTTTGGGGATATAGGGGTCCCTAAGAGTCCATCCTACAGAGCTGGACCTATAGACTGAAGAATAGGGGACATCTGTCCTGCCTTTGGACTCTATAGTGGTCATCTCTCGCACTAGCTACTGGGCTGAGGGTGCAGTCCCAGGGCAGAGGCCGCCCAGCACTATAAAGCCTTTTTCCAGTGGGTCATATTTCTCCATGAGGCTGTGCCAAGGATGGTCCCACTGATGTTAGCCAGGAATTTGGTATCCCTGGACCTGACATCTATAGCTGGGACTGAAGTTCCTAGAATAATAACCTAGAGGTGTAGGATGTAACGAGAGTCCTAAGATTATGGCATCCAAGTGTCATAGCCCAACGGCTTAAACCAAAAGAGGTTGCTTTCCAAAATTCTGGAGACTGGAGGTCCAGTGAGGCTACTGACCACACAAAAGTGATCTGAAGATAGAAACAAAACAAGAAAACAAACAATCCTGGAAGTTCAGGTGTGGTAGAGCTGTCCCCTGAGCCTATCTGTGTGGCTATTTG